CTTTTATGACTTGCTTATTCTTTGTCCATTTTTCTGTGGGGCTAGTTGTGAGAGATCTTTATAAATTCTGTCTGCGAATACTCTGTTTTATGTGTTATTTATAGTGGTGTGTGATTTGTCTTTTAACTTTATGGTTAGAAGTTTTAGATTTTAATATGGTTAAATTTGAAAGAGAACATCTTAATAACACCAGGGTAGGAAAGTATTGATAGGTCATGATGCACAAAGCACAACTTAGAAGAGAAAGATTATCAGTGTGAATTGAGTTGGCTCTTCGAACTCTGCTCTCCCACGTGAATTTTTTATTTGTCTAGTTCCATTACATCAGTTTGTTCAGTTCCATGAAAAATTCTGATGGGATTTTATTTGAAATTGCATTCAAGTTATGGATTGATTTAAGAAGAATTGGCATCTTAAGGTATTGAGAGTCCATCAAAGAATGTGGTATTTCTCTCTCCTTATATAACATATTTTTCACATTTTGATGTTTCCTGGTGCTTTTTTGTACCAAATTTTCAGCATTGTCTAGTACTGTTTTTAATGGTTTGTGGCGTTCTCTCCACCCCCAACTCCCCCAACCCCACTTTTCTCTCTCTACCCTTGTTGTCATGACCCCTTCCCTCCCTGTCTCATCTCCTCAGATCTTAGTGCTGAAACTGAGCAAGAATGTGGTCGGGGGAAGAGGGGTCCCCATAGCACCTGTTACTCTGTTCTACTTAAGGAGAAAGGTGGGGTTTCAAATTCACTTGCTTACTCAGGAAACGTGTATTGAGTAAACTGTGCTGGGCCTCAGACTTTGCTCCTATCTTTCCACTGCAGTTTTTATTCAGGTTACGTGGTTTTTAGCCGTGGAACCTCTGTTCCTTTTCTCTTAGGCTGTTGTTGCCCAGGAGGACTATACTAATCCTGTGATCATGGTGGAAAATGTATTTACCAGGCCAGGCATCATTGTCAACCTGCTTTTCTTTTCTCTTTATTTCTTGTAGATTAGCTCTAGTCAACATTGTGAGTCCTGTAAAACAATGAAGTGAAAGACCACATTACCATCTTGAATCGGGGCTAATAGCCCTTGGCCCATATAACTGAAGTCGGCCTTTTGGGTGGGTGTGGACTGGGTTATCATCTTCCGATACAGCTGTCATCTTTCTCACCACTTAAGTCCAGGCTCCTGAATGTTTCTCCTTTTCATTTTCCCTTAATTAGCGAGAGAGCTGTTTGAATTGCTGAGAACAGACCTTGTTTGTGTCTGAATACTCAGCACCCTGCGCATTGCCTGACACATGATGGCTGCCAGTTGCTCAGTTGGTTGAAGACACTGATGAAGTCATCTCAGTTCACCCCACCTTTAAGCACATATAAGCACACATGTGCATTCTCGTAGCTGTAGTATCGGTGTTCCAAAGCTGCCAGCCCATCTGGTGGGAGCAATATGTGATCAATTCTATCATTCTGCCTCTTTTTCTACTTACTCTTCAGTCTGGAATAAATGGTGGGAAGGTTGTTTGGAAGCAGATACTGAATTTTGCTCTTAATGGAGCTTATGTTGTAGCCAACTCGATCTGCTTGGCCATGCTACTTATTAGAATTCATGGAATGGAAGAGATAAGAAATTTAAAATCTCAGTTAGCTCTGTATCTCCTTTAGTAGTCAGGCAACATGAAGTTTTATACATACATTTTTTAATCTGAAAATTAGACCTGACATCTTTCCCTTTCAGACATATTAGTGTAAGCTAATGCTCAGTCCCTTGAAAAGAGAATTATAGTGCTAATCTATAATTGAGCAGAGGAAAAATTTTGTTACCGGGACCTACTTTATCCTAGCCTTCTGGGGATTTATTGAATTCTCAAACAGTGTTTTAATTTTAATTGCACATTACTGATTTTTAAAGGTATGTTTTATGAATCACATGTTTTGTTTGAAAAAACTGATTAAATTCAGAAATTTAAGTATTCAAAATTACTTGCTTTGTTTCTCTTCAGAGGATTTTTTTCCTAACAAATTGACTTTTGGAAAAAAAATCCTATGGAAAATTTGAAGTGTGCTCATAGACTAGTGTATAGACTCCCTTTGTGATTCAGTTTCAATAATCAACCCATGGCTTGTCTCCTGTTGTCTCTGCTTACCCATTCCTCTACCCACCTATTTTAGATTATTTTAAAGTAAATCCTGGGCAGCATATAATTTCATCTGTAAATATTTCAGTGTGTATTTCTTTAAAATAAGGACTAAAAAGTCGAATGTGAAACCATCATCACATCCAAAGATAATTAACAATAATTTGTCAATATCTTCAACTATCCAGACTGGGTTCTTTTTTAATCTGTTGATCTGTTCTCTAGTCTCTCCCTCTCCCTTGCTCTTTTGTTGTGAGTGTATATGTGTGTTTTCTGAAGAAACTATGTAATTTATTCTGTAGTTTCTTACTGCCTAGATTTTTTAGATTTCTCATTTTAAGATAGCACCTTGGAAGTGTTGTCTAAAGTGTTTTTGCCTAGGGTAGAAACAGCCAGGTAGTTTGGTACAGGTCATTTACTCAGAATTTGTTGCTTGCAGTTTGCTGTGATGTAAACTTGTTAGAGTTCTGTGTAAAGGGGGTAGGAAAAGACTTTTGAGGGAAGACTCAAATTGTGTTTCTGTGAATAAAGTTCATTTATGAGTTTTGAGATTTGGACTTAGGCTAAGCTCTATAGCTAAATCTAGAAGATTTTATACAGTTGATACTTTTACATTTGGGAATGCATAGTACAAATGAGTTTTTGTTGTTGATGTTAGCTTAGTTCAGAAACACATGTTAGAAAAAAATGGTCAAATAAGAGGAGTTGGTAGAATTTGGAGTCTGACAGGTCATCTGAGTTCTGGGGCTGGGAAAGAAACAAGGTGTATATTAGTTTTCTTTGGTTGTTCTGAAAGATTCACACAAACTTGGCTTAAAACAAATTTATTATCTTGTAGTTCTGGAGGTGAGAAGTCTGAAAGAGGTCTCACGGAGCCATCACCCAGGTGCTGGCAGGACTGTGCTCCGCCAGGGGGGCTCCAGCGGGGAGTCCGTTTTCCTGCCTTTTCCAGCCGCTAGAGGCTGCAGGCTCCCTAGGCGCTTGACCCTTCCCACCTTCAAAGCCCGCGGTGGCTGGTGGGGTCTTTCTCGCCTCGCATCACTCCGACACTGGCTCTCCTGCCTCCCTCTTTTGCTTTTAAGGACCCTGGGGTTATACTGTGCCACCTGCAGAATCTAGGATAATCTCCCCATTTTAAGATTAGATGATTAGCAACCTTAACTCCATTTACCTTAACATGTTCAGTGGGTCCAGAGATTAGCATGTGGACATCTTTTGGGGGCCAGTCTGCCTGCCACACCAGGTGTGAAGAATTAACAGGGGACTGGAGTTGCTTTCTGCACTAACAGAGTTCTTTTTGACCCTTGGGTATACACTTCTGGTCTAGAGGGGGCGTTATTGAGAGCTCATGGTGTTACATCATGGGGTAGTTATGATTATAGAACATTTAAAAGCTAACGTTGGTTGTCATAACCATAAGGCTGAGTCAGTCTTGATATGCCAACTTTAAAGAACCTTATAAAATCTTGTTTTCTTTCACCTTTTAATTATCATGCAGAAATTAAAACTTTTAAAGTTTTGGTTTTTCTATGAGGTGGTCTAGAAAAAGGTAGATAAATACTAATTTGTGTGATGATGTGCATCCCCTCTTTGACAAAATGAGAACCTGGGATGACAGATAGTTGTGTTTTGATGAAAAGGGAGCTTGATGTTGTTTTCTGTTATTTGGGACATTGGTAGGTTGACAGGGAGCATTGTGTGGACACAACCAGTGAAACCTGTTTTATGTCTTTTTTCCCCCTGTTAAGCAGCAAGGGGTTCCCAGTGCATAGGGAAGAGCCTTTAAAAAAAAAATGGAGACATTGAAAAGTACAGGGCTTCTCTCTTCTGTTACTTTATTGCCTTATTGTCATTGGGGACAATAAAAATTCACTGGTCATTGTAGTGTTCCCTTAAATACATCAGAACTTTTGCTTTCAAACATTTTCTTCCTTTAGACAGATTATTATGATAATCTGTTATATAGTTCCCTGCCAGATTTATTGAATATAACTTTAAAAATCATATTTCTGTGACTTTAGTAAATAATACCATATTGCATTAAATCAAAGTTGCTAAGAGAGTAGATCTTAAAAGTTCTCATCACAAGAAAAAAAAATTGTACCTATGTATGGTGATGGATATTAACTAGACTTCTTGTGATCATTTTGCAATATGTAAAAATATTGAATCTTTACACTGTGCACCTGAAAACATAATGTTATATGTCAACCATACTTCAGTAAAAAGAATCATGGCTGTTTGGTTTCCATTACTGATCAGCTTAGTTTGTATAAAAGTCACATAGTCTTTTAACTTTTAGCATATGTCAGGCTGTTTGCCTTGTAAAATCACCTCTGCCTACTAATGAAGTATAACAGACAGAAAAGTGAACCAGCCATAAGGTGTGGCTGAAGTACTGAACAGTTTTGTTTCAGTGTAGTTACTGCTGTGTAGTTCTGTCCACCCACAGCACTCCCACCTTTTGTTCCTTTCTGACCTTTGTAATTGTGCGAGGGCATCTGAGGCACCGCTGTTATTAATACATGGCTATCTGGGTGAGGCAACATGTCTGTAAATAAAGTTCATTGGTGTTGACAGAGTTTCTTTGATATGCAGTGGTCAACTTTTAAAACATTTTTTTCTCTTTCTAAGTTCCCATCTGGGTTTCAGCTTCTTGAATATTTAATCCTTATCTTTGTATAAATGAAAATGAAATGTGAGCTGAAAAACCGTATGATTTTCTTTTGGTTATTTCTTCTAAAATATTTAACTTCTAATTTTAGCATATAGTAATTTTACCTTAGTTTTCTTTGTCTGGGTGACTTTTTCTGCTCTTTGTTTTAATGTCATCTTGTTCATACTTGCATTTTATCAATTCTTTTGATTTTTCTCTCTTTTTAGACTTTTACTGGTTGGTGGATGTGAAACTGCTGAAGTGGGCGTATCAAAAGCTTCTAGCTATGGCCTTTCTGCCTGGAGAATTCTTTCAGGATCACCTTATTATAAACAGGTTCCTAACGGTGGAGACAGGGTCACTGAGGTAAGTACTAACTTTGGCATTTCACTTTGCTAATAGATCTCAGGCAGACGAGCCCTTTATAAAATGCAGAGGAGGGAATAATTTGCCTTAAATGAGGAAAGTGATTTAATGCCAGTGAAATTTCAGTACTTCTTTGCAAATATCAAATTTATCTAAAACATATTGTGTTTAACTTGGTCTCATTTTTAGTAACAGTATTTGCAGATATTAGAAAAACAACCTAATAGTGATCCGGTTACTTGCTTTTGCTTATTTAAACATCAACATTTATTAAGCATTTTTTATATGCTGGTATCTACTGTGAGTGCTGTCATGTTCAGTAGCTCATTTAATTCTCACTAACCCTTTGAGGCAGGTATTGTTACTGGCCAGAGTCTAATTGATGAGGAGAGTGAAGTGTAGTTAAGTAACTTGCCCTGGGTCACACAGCTAGCAAGTGGCAGAATAATTTGAGTACAAACTGTGGCAGAACTTCCCCCTGTTCAAGTTTTTCAGTACTGTGGTAGACTCCCTCCCATTTTCTTACATATTTCTATGGGCAATTCATCCAAACATTCCTTCATTCATCCTGTAATTGAGTTTCTATTTTGTGTCAGGCGCTCCTTTATGCCGTAATAGTCAGAATAGGCTAGACTCTGTTGTGATAATAAAAACAGTCACACAGACAAACAGATGAGAAATTCTAATATTTCCTTGGGCTATGCTGTTAGTACCTTGACTTCCCTGGACAGCTCATTCCAAGTGATGATTAAGGCATCCACAGAGGCTGGTGATCTGCTGAAGTCCCACTGTCTCAGTTTATGGCCTTGAGAGGAGGAAGGGAGGGCTAAAAGGTGGAACTTTGAAAACCAGAACCAATGCTACTTCTCACAGTACAGTTATTATAACTATGTGGCCCCTCCTACCTTCAAGGAACCTGAGAAGTATTTTTTTGTGTGCCAGAAAGGTGAGAAAACTAGTTATTAGTGAGTGCTAATATGTCATATTGACTTCCCTGTGATAGCATGTATCTTGGTTATTTGTATAAACTTCGATTAAATTATACACCCTGTGTTCAGCAATGTCGTGGGCATTCATATTTTTTGAGTAAAGGAAGAAACCAAGAAACTAAAATGAAGCACAACATAAGTGAATGTGTTATGCTATTTATTCCTACAATGAGTGCATTTGTCTAATTATTTGTGTCTTAAAATATACCGATCTCAAATGATCATCTAAAACAATGAATGGGTAAAGGTTTCGAAGTTGAAAAGGAACTAGTGAGGAAGCACTTTGCAAAGAGGTCTAGCAATTATAGTGCGCTTTCATTAATTGTTTTTCTTTAGCTTTAGCATATGCTGAAACATTAACTGTGAGTTTAACCGAACAAAGTAGTTTTTATAAAAATAAGCTCAGTTTACTGGTTTATACGTGTAGATCACTTGGTCATGGAGTATCATGCTTTGTGCTTTTCCTTCCATTCGTTGCCCATCTACCCATTCTAGTGCCCATTTCTTCTCTCTGCAGGACCCAGTGAGCAGTCCATTTTGAATATTATTGACCACACTTCACAGATTAGGAGCCTAAAACCCTCTGAGATCTTAACAACTCAAAATAGGGGAACGGGGTGGACCTGGACCTTCTAATTCCTGTTTGGCACCTTCTCCCACGCACCATGTGAAATAACGTACATGGCAGTGACATGGCCAAATGTATCCATGGTGATTATCCCATAATTTATTTAAAAAAAGGTGAGGTAGGGATTACTAACACTTACTGGACATATTATTTTATATTTTCAGGAATTAAAAATTTTTTCTCTCTCTCTAATTCATACATAACTTCTAGTTTTATATGTGAGATAATTCAGGGCACATCTTGTGAAGAGTTAGAAAGTTTTATCACTAGAATTTAAGTGTATGTCTGCAGCTTTTTTTTTAAATGGTTCAGTCAAAAAATAATTGTAAAAACTGTATGTGTACACATAGGTAAAGCAAACGTGGCCAAATGTTAATAATTGGTGAACCCAGGTGAAAAGTGTCCTGGTGTTTCATTGTGTGATGGTTTTAGCTTTCCAGTAGCTATAAAATGTGTCAAAATTAAAGGTTGAGGAGAATGAAAGAAAAAGTGTGTAGGTTGTGAAGGCTACAAGGAAAGACCAGGAAGGCAAACTGGAGGTGGGCCTCAGTGCAGGGTGGCCAAGGGTATCGTGAGAGCGCTTTGGGGAGGGCAAGTCACGGAGCACCGCTGTGTGCCAGGACGCCTCTTGCGCCATGGCTGCTGTGAATTCTCTGTGGTTTCATTGCCGCGAACTCCAGTGTCGGAATGCTCTGCTCTATGTGGTCCTTCCCCCTCTGACCTGCAGTTTTGGTATTGGAGTCTCTTAAAAGATAATTGCTCATGCTCTGACAAAGTAGGGAACAATATTGGATTTCAAATTGAATGCTGTACTGTACGATTAATTCCTTAAAATGCTTCGAGTGTATTTTAATTATGTTAGTGGCTTTTAAGTGTGTCTTGCAGCTAAATTTACAGTCTTCCTACATAACCTTTCCCTACTTCAGAGTAATTTGAATTACAGGATTAGTTCCTTTTTCAGGTGCCAGGTATCATCTTCATTGAACCTTCTCTTACTGTTGACTTAAGGTTGCTGTTCTGTTGGGGTGGATACTGACCAAAAAAAGCTGCTGACACGTACATTCCAGTCTCTCACTGGGCTGCTAGATCGTAAAAGAGACTATGCAAAATTCAATATGTGCACTGACCAAAGTTTCCAAATTAATGTCAGTGTCTCTTATATACGATAGTTTTATTTATCCATTTGTTCAACATTGAATCACTGCTCCAAGTGTTAGGAATATGAAGGTAGCAGCCCTCAAGCAGTTTACCGTATTGGAGGGTGTAGCTGTGTCCACAAGTAAGGGCAATAAGCTGTAACGCAAAGCAGGTTAGAGTTCAGTATCTGGGATAAAGGAAAGAACCCAGGCTCGGGAGTCAGAAGGCTGGAATTGGAATTCTAGCTCATCACTGAAACTTGTGTGTTAAGGCTTTTGCCAGGATCAAATGATATAATAATGTGAAGACACTTGGTAAGCCATAAAATGATCTATAATGTTAATTATTATTATCTATTTGTATTTTTTGGATAAAAATTTCAGAAAAAATATATAAAAATGGACAAAACTATTTTTTGTTATTGATGTTGCTGCTTTTTCAGTATGCAATGTTGTTGGCAGAAAGAATACAGGCATTTTGGAGTCCTGTTTCCTGAGAATTCCTATTTCCCTGAACAATAGAAGTAATCAGAATAGTATTTCCACAGGGTCATACCACTTGCTGCAAATGTGCCTATATACCATCTTTTGTTAGCACAGACAGACTGTCCTTGTAGCAGCTAAGGCCAAGCCAATATTTGTCCACCAAATCTCACACTCTGACTTACTGAAGGATGTTTTTCTACATCATGCATTTTGCTGTCTATTAGATTTATCAGCATACAGCATGCTTTTAGTTTTCTAATCGTAAAAACTCTTTAATTTTAGGGGGATTTAGACCCCACTAAATCCTACTACCACCCCATTTGTTTCCCTTTCTTCACCATGTTCAAGAGTTGTCTGTACTTGTTTCCAATTCCTCTTTCTGATCTCTCTTGAATTCACGTGAGGATTTGCTTCCATCATTTCACTGAAATAATCTTGTTACCAATGCCTCCCAATATTTTACCAGTTTCTCAGTTTTATTGGAATTCCGGAATTCCTACTTATTGCCCACACAAAACTCAGTTTTTCTCTTTTCCCTTTTCTTCTCCCATTTTAGTTTTGTAAATATGTGTTTCAACAAAGAAAAAATAACACATTAGTTTCTTTCCTTGCTCACCTACTTTAGTCTTACATGTCCATTTATATATTTCCAAATGCTCACTGTCACTTCTGTTGAAATTTTCTCAGTCATCTCTTGTTTGGATGGATTATCCTCTGGTAGAAGTTATGAGAAGGACCCATAGATGAAGAGTTCTTTAATTAGTTTTATGCTCAGAATTGTTTTTCCACAGCCTGGATTGTTGAATAAGAACATGTCTGGATATAAGATCTTGGTTTACCCTTTGTTTCATTGAATTTTTTAAAAAAGCACTATTGTGGAATTTGAAAAGTCTGATAAAGTTGAATTATTTCTCCTTTGTATGTTGTTTGACCATTTTGCTAGGAGGCCTTGGGGATTTTCCTTATCTTTGAAATCTAATAGCTTTCCTGGGATATTTTTTGGAATTGATTATTTTGAGTTAATTTTCCCACCTGCTTGCTCTTTCAATGTATGTATTCAGATCTTTTTCTATCTCTGGAAAGTTTTCTTGAATTGTAATTTTGACATGGTGGTTTTAGATAGACCCTTGACCCATTTGCTAGCTTCCCTTGTCTGCCCTCCCCAAGCCCTGAGCCTTCTTTCAGTCTGTTTTTGCTTGCCATCACCTCTGTCCAGTTCCAGGACATTTTCATCACCCCAGAAGGAAGCCTTGCACCATACCATACACTTCTGATTCTCCCCTCCCCCCAGCTCCTGACAACCACTAGTCTGTTTTTGTTTCTGTAGATTTACCCATTTTGAGTGTTTCATTTAAATAGAATCATAAATACATGGCTTTTCATATCTGGCTTCTTTCATTTAGCATATTTTTGAGATTCGTCCAAGTTGTAGCAGGCATACATATTTCTTTCATTTTTATGACTGAGTGAAATTCCACGATAGGAATAGTCAGGCATACCTCGTTTTATTGAGCTCTGCAGACACTGCATTTAATGCAAATTGAAGGTTTGTGGCAACCCTGCATTGAGCAAGTTTGTTGGCGTCATTTTTCCAATAGCATTTGCTCATTTAGAGTTTCTGTGTCACATTTTGGTAATTCTTTCAATATTTCAAACTTTTTCATTATTATATTCTAGTGTCTGTGATTGCTGATTATGATTCACTGGAAGCTCATATGATTAGAATTTTTTACAAATAAACTTTTAAATTAAGGTATGCACTTTTTTTTAGATATAATGCTATTGCACATTTAACAGACTATAATACAGTGTAAACATAGCTTTCATAAGCCCTAAGAAACAAAAAAACTCATTTGACTCACTTTATTGTGATACTCACTTATCACAGTGCCCTGGAATTGAATCTGCAATATCTCCAAGGATTTCTGTATTATACTTCATTTATCCATTGTTCAGTTCATGGATGTTTGAGTTATTTTCACTTTTTAGCTTTTGTGAATAATAGTGCACCAAACATTCCTGTACAGGTATTGTTTGAATATCTATTTTCCATTCTTTTGAATATATACTTAGGGTGGAATTGCTGGGTCATATGATAATTCTATGTTTAACTTTTTGAGGAACCACCCAACTGTTTCCACAGCGTCTGTACCCGTTAATGTTCCCTGCAGCAAAGTAGTATGGTTCCAAATTCTCAACACCACTGGTTATTTTCTGTTTTTAAAATCACACGTACATCCCCATCTTACTTTTTGAAGTGTATTTCTTTAAAGACAAAAATAGTCTTGTGTTACATTATTTCAAAAACTGGTTTCTAAATGATGATTTTTTTTTTTCCCCTGGTGTTTTTCAAGTGTAAGATCAAGTGCTTAATGAATGGAATTTTTCTTTGAAATTTTTATCTTTTCCATGGAGATGGACAGGATGAAATGGTAACCCAGGCACCCAATTAGAGAAGAGCTTATAGTAAATTCTAATTTACATAGATGTTCTATACTTGTTATGCATGTTTTTAGAAAGCATTTGATCATGGTATATTTGGTAAGATTTACTACTTGGTAGATTTTCTTTTTCTTTTTCAAATAAAAACAGATCAAGGTCTCACCAAAATCCCTGAGATTTATTGATAATTTCTTAACCATTTCTTAAAATACAAGATTTGCTGTAATTCTGATTTCACGGTCAAAGGATTTCATACAATGAGAAAGTATTCTAATCCCTCTCTGTATGATGTGCGTTTGCATTTATTTTGTAGGTGCCAAAGACACTGGGATTATTAAGGATGTTAAGTGTCAAGTTTTATAGTCGCCCGGGACAAGAACAGGTACCTCACAATTTTAACTTTGTGCTTCTCAAATATGTTCACCAGAGTACTTTTTAAGAGCAAAGTTGAATGAACCTTGAATGGAACAGATCTTCATCTGGATGTGTTCTCAATTTTATGCTGTGTGGGCACATGTAATAGTAGGAATTCATGGAGCCATTCATTAAAGATCTGTGTATTTTACTATAGGTCATTTTTATCTCAATAAAGAAAATAAAAAAAAAGAATTAAAGTATGAACCTAGTCCTAGTGTGTGTCTAGGGATGTAGCCCAAGAAAGTCTCCTGGGAGTATTATGTATCTTTGAAGTTTCTTAATTAATCTTACTTGTGAATTTTGTATCTTTGTCCATAACATATCCTTTTTGGTTTGTTTTAAAATTTAAAAAAATTTCTCCCTAAATATGAGATTATTAATGCTTCAAAACAAAATAAGCCATATTGATACTGGGTTTCAAGTGCCACCCGTGGACGGTCTTGCTCCTGGTACGAGAGGCACAGGTCCCCAGCAGGGCTGGCTGACACTTGCATCCTGAGTGGAGGTGCTGCCCTTAGGAACCGCCTCTGCGGGAGATGGTGACATTCCCTCTCTGCATGGTGCTCATGAGTCTTGACTTACATGGGGGCATCAAATCATACCTTTCCTGTTTTGGGGAAAATCAAACAACTTTTCTGGTTTTTTTTTTCTTCAATTTCTTTATTAAACCAAGGAAAATTATAAGACATATAAAAATTGTAAGAAATATAATGAGCATTCTGTTGCTGCATTTGTCTTTTTATTATATTTAAAATGTTGAGTTCTAGTTATTTCTCTGCTGTTGACTTCAATTAAATCACGTATTCTGGGTTGGTTTGGCATTCTGTAGACATGAGTGGTAACACTGCTCTTTAGAAAGTCTGGACAGTCATTTTCATTTTTAATCCCTTGTATTGTTTACACTGTCTTCCAGTTAGATTCTCTTCAGTCATTTTGTGGAGTTTTATGTTCATTTGGCAGATGAAGAAACATGCAAGATCAAATGATTTGGCCTCTGCCATGAATTTTGTTCTTTCTAATTTACTATGTAGCCTCTGTTGGTCTTTCTATTACCATATTAGTGCAGGCGAGTATCTCTTTGTTTTATTTCCTGTACCCTTTTCTCATTTTCCTTAATACTGTTTAAATAACAACTACTTTTAACAAATTTTTTAAAGGGGTCACTGTGTTTTTTAGTAAAATTCAGTTGAAAGCAATGATGTGGCAATCCAGCATTTATTTATTCTTTCAGTCAGCGAGCACTCACTTTGAGCCAGACACGGTGTTGGAGCTGAGAGTAAGGAGACGGATAAAATGCAGTGCACTTCCTCAAGGAGAGCTTAGTGCAATGGGGGAGGCATAGAAGCAGTTGTAAGCAGTACAGTATTACGCAGCGTATTACCTCCTCTGTGGTGCAACGTGAAGTACCCTTAAGGTAGAGAAGAGCCAGAAATGGGAAGTCTGGCCATACCCAGCCTGGGGCAAAGTCCTGGAAGCCTTGAGAACTTGGCTGGGATGCTCCAGTTTGCTGAGGTGTAGGATTCATAGCCTCCTGTTCTTTTGTGTTCCAAAAACCAATATAGTTGTAATATATTTTTGGACCGATATAGTTGTAATATATTTAGAACCAGAATTACTTGGGGTTTGATATTCATGAATCTCCTCTGTACCATATTCTGTACATGTCAGATGTTTCTCATTCTTATCAGTATCCTTTGTGAGTGAGCAGAAGGAGGGACAAGCAAGTAACAGATTTCCTTATATTTCCGCCTTTCTTCATGACATATTGCACTAGAATTCTTAATTGTTTGGACTTTTTAAAAAGACTTTCTAAAATCAATGGCTTCCAGTAAGTATCCAGTTACTATGTATGTTATGTTACTTGTACCTGGTAGTTCCAAGCCCACAAATAATTATGGGGCATAGATTGTTCTTTTTTTTTTAGTACCATAACTTTAGAGTTGCCTTCACAGAGACTATCTATTAATTTTTTATTATTGTGAACACATTCTAGTTTACAAGTATCTTCACGTGATCTCACAGAAGGCTTGAAGTACTGGCATCATGATGCCTGTTTTATTGATGAAGGAATTAAAGTCTCAAGAGAAATGGCTCATCAAACTCACTCACCTAGACAGTGCCAGAGATGAGTTTGGTCTTGAGTTGGCTCATGATCCAGTGCTTTTTTTCACTAACTCTTGTTGACTCTTGTCTAAGCCCTTATTTGGACAATTGAAGAAAAAGAAGCCAAGGTGTGTCGTACTTAAAAATAGGCCAGGTTACAAATTACTTATCTCAGAAAGATCTCTTTTACTACTCAGTTTGGCAGCAATTATATTTCTTTTAAAAATGTGTATCTCTTAACTGCTGATATTTTTAAAAAAGGGATATGCTTTCCTACATAGTACCTATATGGTTGATATTAAGGTCATTTTGTTCTATTCACTGGTGAGACTATAAAGCAGCAGCACTGCTTGGACAGTATTGGAGGGAATGTATATTAAACAGCTACGGCAGTGACTGTTACTTTAGGGGCACTCAGTAAGTGTTAGTGGAGGCTGCTCTGATTTGTCGATTTCTTTATATCTGATACCATAGAGCTAATAATTTATGGGTTCTTTTTAAATTGTGGTATAGTATACCCAAAAGTTATAGATTCAAAATTACCAACTACTGGTTGTCTGGCATAATACTGTCTTTCAAAGAGTATATCAATAATGAAATTATTTATGTTCTTTCATAAAGGATATTAGCTTAGAAAAATGTTTTCCAAAGGCTTTTTTCTCATCTCAGGTTATCAACCACACTTTCCAGGATGATTGTCTTTTGGTTTGAAAACAGATTTCTGTTTACCTTTGGTGGGTCAGAACCACAGTGGGCTGGAAGGTCTCTAAAGTCTTTGAGGTCAGAGATTTATGTTTCTTTTTACTGCTGGATCTTAAGCATGCGAAACAGACCTGGCATGTTATGTATTATCGAATATGTAATATTCAGGAAGGAATTGTTGGGTGAGCAGGGCTTATGGTGCCACCTTTTATTGAGCTGTTTTTTTTTCTTTAAAAATATGTAGTAATTCAGAACATTTTGAATGTAAGTACTAGAGTTCAAGACTTCATTTACTTTCAGTACTTATATGTCTGAAAGGTATAATAAAATAGAAATCATTCATTTTTAATTGTGCTGTGTGGATGATAGGCAGTTGAAGAAAGTGGGGGCAGTTGAAACTGATTTCAGTACAAAGATACAATATTTAACATTTAAAAATATCTTAGAACAATTAAAACTTTTGTTGTAATACTTGAGAGAAGACACAATTCCTACTCTATTGCTGCCAGTAGAAGGCTTTAATTAATTTAATTACATTTGAGCTAGTGGTTTAATATAAATGAGAAGTAGAGGTGGAAGTTAAAGTCTACATTATTAATTTTAGTAGTATTTTGGTATTATCACATTGCAAAATATTCAATGAAGTAAAAGGAAAGTATCTTTTGAAAGGTCTTGGGAAGAGAATTGAGATAGGGAGGTAAATAGAATTGAAAATGTGGTCAATTAAAAGGGCCATAAGGAATTACTGATGTAAGAAGACAGTCTACTGTGCAAAGAGCTCTTTGTCAGCCATCTTCCTATGCCCATGCTGCCTACCCAGTCATACTAACTTACCAAGTAATTATTTAGCTAGACACCCTTTCAATGGATACTCATGGAATAGACTGAAGCAGGTAGCAAGTGATATTCACTGTTTTCTTTTTCTTACCTTTATTGGGGTGTAACTGTAAGATATTTAAATTATATAATATGATTTGATATACATAAGTATTGTGAAAGTATTTTCCTCTATCATGTTAATTAACACATCCATCACCTCACATATTTACCTTTTGTGTGTGCGTGTGTATGTGTGTGGAAATTACAGTCGTAGTCTCTCAACAAATTTCAGTTACACAGGAGAGTGTATTAACTATAGTCACCATGTTATGTTAGATCCTCAGAACTTCTTCACCTTATACTGAAAGTTTGTACCCTTAATCAACCCTTCCTACTTCCCAGCCTCTGGTAGGCAACCACTTTTCTACTGTTTCTATGAGTTTGACTTTTTTTTTTTTTTTTTAAAGATTCCACATATAAATGACCTCATACTGTATTTATCTTTTTTGCTTATTTCACTCAGCCTAATTCAAATGACAGGATTTCCTTCTTTTTCTTAAGGCTGAATAATAATCGTGTATGTGTGTGTGCATGTGCACGTGTGCATGTGCATTTTACCTTTCTTCTTTTTGCTAATAGTCATCCTAACAGGTGTGAGGTGGTAACTCATTGTGGCTTGATTTGCATTTCTCTGATGATTAATGATGTTGAGCACCTTTGCATGCATCTGTTGGCCATTTATATATCTTCGGAAAAATGTGTATTCAGATCCATTACTCATTTTTTAATTGGGTTTTTTTTTTGCCAGTAAGTTGTATGAGTTCCTTGTATATTTCGGATATTAACTCTTATTAGATAAGGTGGTTTGCAAATGTTTTCTTCCATCCCATAGGTTGTCTTTTCATGTTGTTGGTTTCCGTTGCTGTGCAGAAGGTTTTCAGTTTGATGTAGCCTTACTTTTTAGTCTTTGCTTTTGTTGTGATATCCAGAAAAATTATTGCCAAGACCAATGTCCAGGAACTTGCCCCTAAGTTTTCTTATGGAAGTTTTGTAGTTTCAGGTCTTATGTTCAAGTCTTTAATAATTTCGAGTTGGTTTTCATATATAGCATAAGTTAGGGTTCAGTTCCAGCCCTTTTTGCATGTGGCTGTCCAGTTTCTCAGCACCATTTACTGAAGAGAATATCCTTTCCCCATGTGTATTCTTGGCTCCTTTGTTGTAAACTGATTGGTACAATATGCATGGATTTATTTCTGGGCTCTCTATTCTGTTCCATTGATCTCTGTGCCTGTTTTGTGCCAGAACTATGGTGTTTTCATTACTATAGCTTTGTGACATACTTTGAAACTGGAAAGTGTGGTGTCTCTATCTTTGTTCTTTCTCAAGATTGTTTTGGCTATTTGGAGTCTTTTGTGATACTAAACAAACAAAAAGGATTGTTTTTTCCATATCCATGAAAAATACCACTGGAATTTCGGCAACTGAGTGTTGTATCCTGCAACTTTACTGAATTTGTTTATTCCAACAGTTTTTTGATGGAGTTCTTAAGGTTTTCTATATATCATGTCATCTATAAACAGACCCATTTTACTTCTTCCTTTCTAATTTGTACATCTTTTATTTGTTGTCTAATTGCTCTGGCTAGGATCTCCAGTACCATGTTGAATAAAGTGTCTTATTCCTGCTTTTAGAGGAAACATTTTTCTGCTTCTCACTGTCAAATTACATATTCTTAACCAACATTCTAGCTGTTGTAATGATTACAGTAAAAATGACATTCATAGCTAAGAATATGAAAGAGATTTCACAGATACATTTTCATCAAAGTGAAAATGACAGCTACACCTAAATTTTATTGCCTTTAGAAGTACTTAATTCTAAAGTACTGAAGAGAAGAAAACAAGATCATTATACACTTATGCTGAGCAATAATACAATATGAGGAATTATGGTTCTAGAATCTCGGTGTGTTTGAGATTTTCTTTTATTGTGACATACGGAAAAGCCATTTCTTCTTCTTTCCAAAGCCTACACTCTGGAACTCTCTCCCTAGCCAACAGAGAGGTGTTCAGACTTCTAAATACTGTAGACTCTGTTTGCAGAAGTTAGCATGGATTTTCTAACTGTGGCTTTAGATATTGTGTCACAGTTTACTGTCAGGATAATAAATTATTTCTTGGGTCAGAAATAACCTGTGTGCTATAAACACTCAGAAATGTTTCGGTAAATTAAAAGCAGAGTTTTTATTTCAGAAGGAACGAACCTTGTTTCTAAAGTAACAGAGGTGACTTGTCTATCATTGGCCACTGTTCAGTCATTTTTGTGTCTTCTCACTATGCATATGTGAAAATTAAACATATAACTTGGGACCTCAAAAAAACATATACTTCATGTATATGCATATAATGTCTGGGATTTGCTTTAAAATGCTCCAGAGAAAAAATGTCTGAGGGCATTGTGGTGTTTGGAGGAGGAATCATGAAACAGACTTGAATTGACATTTGTGCAAGCTGTTTGTTGGGTCCATGGATATCATACTATAATTTCTACTTTTGGGTGATAGAGGGCAAATTTCTACTATAAAATGTTTAAACAAAGGAACGGTAAGTTTGCAGTGTAGATATCATACTATCAGATGAAAGTAAGAGTGTCAAGCAGCCACCATGTTAAAAGCAAGTAGTACCCTTTTAGTTAATATGTTTATTGTTTAATTGTCTGAAAGGGAAGAAAGAAGGAAAGGAGGATGGAGGGATTAAAACAGGAAATTCAGCATTATTCATTATTTTCCTGGTCACAATGCTATTGTTAAATTCACATTCATACATCTTTCTGTTTGTTTTTTGTAAAAGAGAATCATAAACTTTCAGAACACTTTTAATGGAATTGTTTAATGAAGCATTTGTAATGCCTGAGAGGTTACCATGTAGATTACACATGACTCATTATTTAGGTGAGGAAACAGAAAGTATACTTGACTATAATTCCTATAGAGGACTATGTCTGTGACGTGGATTGGGATGGAAGATTGTGTTCAATCCAGGTTCTGCTGTCCAAACTTGGGGGATCTTGGACAAGTTTCTTAACCCTTCAGGTCTTCCGTCTCTTGCTCTATAAACTCTGACATATGGGCAGAGAGGTCTTTTAGCTAATAAAAATCTGTGCTTATATGGCCCACTTTACGCAAAACCTGGGGCTTAGTGGCTTCAGAGTTGTGAAAGAAAGATGCCAGCTCATTCATCTTCCACTCCTGCCCCATCTCCTTCACAGAGGAAGGGACGTGGGAAGAGTTAAAGTGTCACTTGAAGTGCCTTTGCTTTTATTGCATCTCTTTGCAGACATTAGTATTTTAATCTTACCTTTAGTTCTGGCATTCTGAGATAGATGGTTTATGTCCAGTTAAAGTGATTTTAGTCCTCATGAGATTAGAGGTCGCTAAACTTTTCATCTATCCACTCATCCGCAGTGTTCCTTACTTCCTGAAATTGTTCTGTTGTTCATGGCTAATATGTCATTTTAGACCTAAGCACTTAAACTCTGTCTACAGAAGCAGGTGGATAATGTGAGTTGAGCCAGATGTAAATTCTGATTTTCTAGTATAGTCATGTTTAGTTTTCAGTTCTGTAGCTTATATTTGGCCTTAATTTTGGGGCATAATAGAGAATGGTGGGAGCTTTAGCCGACTGGAAAGCTTGTGACCCTTCAGAGGGTGCATATGATTTCTAGCTCTGCCTGATTATTGCCATTTGGGGATGGGGGGCCCTGTGTTGCCAAATTTTCTAAATGTTCAGGAGAAATATGGTGGTAGGAAAATTGCTGCCATTTTGGAGTCTGTTTTATTCTTTGTGGGTAAACTACTTTAGACCCTGTCCTTAATAAATGCCTAAATGGGAAATAGAATCAAATGTTTGATTCTTCTGATTTGACTGTAGATTGTAGGCAGGTGATATTTCTGCTTGTATGGTTTCTCTCCTCTGGTAACTGATCAAACCAGGTATTTCTCAGGGAAAGGACTGAGAGATTATTTGGACAAATAGTACTTGAAAGACAAGGTTGGTCATGTAAAACCAGTATATTACAAAGTTTCTTGGTGGCAATAATTCGATTCCCTAAATTGGATAATTTGCCAGCAAATTTGGGAAATACTAAACTTTGATAATGTTCCTTAAAGTATTCATTTTCCTCCTTGTCTGTTCCCATCACACTTGGATTTTTTTTCTCTGTCTTCCTCCTTCTGCCTTTCCATTTCTTCCGCAGCATGAATTTGTGGCCTATATATGATGTATAGAATATTCCAGACATTATGTATATATAGGGTCTGGTAAATATGTGGACCCAAAATTCAAGAAATTCACAATCTAGTCAAACATCAACCAATAAAAGTTATTTAGAACTCATGGTGATTGATGTGTGTTATAAAAGAATATTTTTATAATGCTCATGTATTAAGGTTTTAGATTATATGTAAATTATGACACTATAAAATAGATTTTAAAACCTCAATAAGGGTGGTGACAGTTGTGTTTCTATATGCTGAAGCATGTAGTGTTGTAAAGCTGTTGGAACCCTTAGTTGGGAGATCATTTGTGACATTGTACCCCACAAGAGTGTTATTAAATTTGGGAAGTTATTTCTACTCAGCTGGAAGTCCTTTGCTCTGGCATTAATGTGGTGTAATTGTTGTATAGGATGGGATATTTAAGATGAGCCTTTCTCCAGATGGGACCCTCCTTGCAGCCATTCATTTCTCAGGGAAACTAAGCATCTGGGCCATTCCATCTCTGAAGCAGCAAGGGGAGTGGAATCAAAATGAGCAGGTACGTGTCTTGATTATGATTATTCTTAGAATGACTTTCTTGCTTAAGGATGAACACTGATATTACTAATTTAATTTTGTTGATATTTTATTGTACACAGCTATTTATTTTCATCATTCCAAAGCTTTAGTTAAATTGCGGTATCAATATAGTAGTGCAAATTAAGAATTTGTGTACCGATCTTAATTTTATGTGCAATACACTGTATACTGAGTGTTATGTGTCTAAAAAACTCCCATTTTCCCCTTTTTCTCATTCCAAAAAGTCAAAATGGAGATGTTAATTTTTCAGCACAATCAACTAACATGATCAAGGTTTTGGTGGGTCAGTATCCTAAAAAGGTTACAATTCTTACCAAATCTTGCAACGCTGGTAATATTGGGCTTAAAGCTTAAAGGGATTTATCTTTTCACTTAAAATGTACAAAGTGAACGTACAGAGAAATAAAGAACTATTAATTTTTTAGTTAAATTTCTTAAATGACAGATTTTAAGAATTAAATGATTTAGTTGTTTAGTGACAGAATCAACATCTATTATAATTTATGTATATATAATTACAATTATATGATTATAACTTAAACATCTGTTATAATTTAAAATCACAATGGCCAAGGAAGGTTTCTTCATTAAAAATGCCATATGTTGTGACAGAGTGAACATATAAAGAAAAGTCCTGTCAATTATGTATAGCTTTTGTTATAAATCTTACTCCTTTGGTGATTGTTTTGCATTTCAGCACTTTTAGGATTAGTTTTCTCCCACGTTCCCATTCCTCTTTTCCTAAAGTAATATCTTGTCCCTAGCTTCGGTGGATAGTTTTGTAATTCTGAGATTACAGCATGTTCTGTGAATGATCTGAATGGATTGACATCTTTTTTTTTCAGAATTCTTTTTAATTTAATTTCAGTTCAGTTAAACTGAATCATTAGCGAGCAAACAGCATTTTGTTATTTTCAGAAGAGCAAAAGAAAAGAAAAAGTGGCCCTACAGTTTTTACTCTTTTCACAGACTTAAATTTGTTTTGGCTGTTCTTCATTGTTTTTTTGACTTATACACAAGTTTAGGAAGATCTCCCCCTGACCTAGTTCCTACTAACCTTGAATTTAGTTTGGCCTCCACATCTCTACCTCAACCTCAGTAGCTAATTACGAGGGACATTTTTTCTCTCTCCTCTAAGCTTACAGTTGACTTGAATTAAATCTTCACTCTAGAAAGCAGAGTGAATCAGTTCTAAAAACTGTTTGTTTAACGTACATATCTAGGCATGTCAGATAATTGATCCAGAAAGTACTGTGTATTTTTCATGGTTATCAAGGGATACTGATAAAATATTCAGCTTTTGTCATTTGGGAAGATCCTAATGTTCAGTCACGGGACATTTTACATTTGGGCAGGTTTCTTAAATAGTGAAAATTGAATGCTAAAGGCATTCTCCCCCACCCCAGCTTTGTTTCATAAGTGATTTTCATTTACTTAGAGAAATACTGATCAAGTTCTGAAGCACATTAATCCTTCATTTTGTGAGTATCCTAGAATGTCATACATGTAGTATAAGGGCGATTCAGACGAAATCCACTAGAATGCTATTTGTTCACTGAAATTGTGGCCACCCTTTTTTCTTGACCTGCAATGGTGAATTGCATCTCTTGTAGTACTTATTGGCATACACTCAACTTTTTGACTGGTTAGATACTTTTTGTAATTAGTTGCCAGTCAACATTATAATTCATTACTTTTTTGCTCAGTGTTATCTGTTAATTAGATTTTATAGTGATTCCATTGAAGGGATTTAAAAATTATTTAAAAAATCACGAAGCTAGGAAATGAGTAAGTATGAGTATCTCAGTAATTTGGCATAGGCCTTCGGAAAAGTAATGGGACAGGAAGGGAAGGGAATTTGGAAATGACAAAGAGGTGGGCAGTGGCAAAACCTGCGTTAAGGCCAGGAGTTTGTCTCTAGCGGTCCTAGGGAGAATCTTTTGAACGAAAATACCCTGAGTGTTTAGAAGGACAGCTCATCAGGAATTGTTATTGCCTCATGTTTCAGGGGTGCCTCAGTGGCTTCCATCTCACCTCCTGTGGTTCTGAGCCAGTGTCCCCCAAACAAATGAGTGTTTTGATATGACTGGTATAAATTATTTCCCTTGAACAGAAAAAGAAATAGGTTTTTGGCCTCACAAAACTGAAAACCATGGACCCGGTCGCTATTACCAAGGCCATGTTGTAGGTAGTGCAATCCTCTGCTGCATGGACAGCGGTGCGGCGACACTCTCCGGCCCTGACACTTGGACTGCCACTCCTGCTGCTGCTCGGCCTGCTGCCTCTTTCCAGAGTTCATCCCGTCGTGGGCAGGTGGCTGCCAGCCCCTCCCTTTTCTTGCTGCTGCTGGGCACCTGGGAAGACTCTGTGCTCTGAGATCCCCGCTAATTTTAGCCTGAAAACAAATTTGTGTCCACAGTGGAATACAGCATTTAATTTTACTCATTCCTTTCTTTAAAATTCTAAAGTTAGGGTCAAAATGCAAACTCCTTTGTTTACCTGCCACCTTCTCTTGTCTGATGGCCGTG